CAGCAGTGGTGGCTCCAGTGAGGAGGAAGAAGCAGGTGAAACCTGCTCTTTCCACCCACTCTTCCGCCTGAAGCTTCTTCCACCTACAAAAAACAACCTTGCACTGGTGGGATGGAAGCATAGAATCCACCCCAATGTACTTGGGGAAATTGTGCCTGTTTACCCTGGTTATTATTTCAATACATCAAACCTTTTGAGCAGCTGAACATAAATACTAAACCATTTAAAACATTCTGTTTGTATGCATACATATATGTACACAATATGCAAGAGAGATGAAAAAAAAAACTCCTGTGGAAAATTGCCACAGTTAAAACCAAACATTTCATGAACACAAGAGTGCCTAGAAGGAAATATAACATCTGCCCAGTACACCGGAATTTATCCTCTAAAGATAGAAGAACAAACAGCAAAAGGTCTGTAATTGCTTGCATTGTTATATAATAGCTCCTGTGTACTTCTGCAGTTTCGTAAGTAAATCTTCTCTGTCCCAGCTCTTAGTACTGCTGGGCAAACCAGTGGCCCATCCCTTCTTTCAGTACCTTTCCAGTTTCTCTATAAAATAGTATCCCATATTTTCTACATGCTTTATTTGAAGTTTGTGGGCAGCCCTTCCCCCTGTAATTGCCATCTCAGAGTCAATTTCCTAAGCACAAAGAAGGTTTGGCCTCTTATTAACTTGAAATGACATCAGAATTACCCCGTGATTTAAGCAGCAGGAGAAGAAATTCTTGCAGAGAACATGGCAAAGAACAGACCAGTAATTACCATATAAAAAGCATGGGGTGTCAACGCCTAGAAAGAAATCACATTCCCTTTCAACGATAGCAGTTCATCCAATTGACCTCAAGGTGTCCCCATAGCTCCACTCTGAGTCCATGTACACTTTGCAATAAATACAACACAAGCGCCTTTTTGAAGTCCATGTTCTGGTTTGTGTCTTTTTGCCCCCCCCCCCTTTTCTGTCAGTAAAAGTTCCGAAGAGTTTGCTTGTTTGTAGGAAGTGCTAAAATCTCCTTACCTCTAATTTCCATGTATCTGGAGAGGTTCGAGGGAATCTTGCTGCTGGGGCCTACACTGGGGGCACATTGCCTTGACAAGTCTGAGGGAAGTTGCATTACAGCTCCAAGTGTGGAACAGGCCTCTGTTTGGAAACAGCAGCTTTTGCTAGAAATAGGTTGGGCATGAGCCATATTAATAGGAACCGGAACTGTGGGAAAAGAAATCAAAACACCATGTATTTCCTGTCCATGGCTTGCAACCTGTGATCCTTTTTGGATCTTCCTATTTGGGTCTCTGTATGGTATAGCCTGATTCATCAGATTTCAGAAGCTAAGGAGACCACCAAGGAAGCCTCTGCAGAGGAAGTCAATGGCACACCACCTCTGCTTTTCCCTTGCCTTGAAAGCCCCTTTCTGGGGTCACTATAAATCCGTTGCAACTTGACAGTATTTTCATATGTACATGTTTGAGTCTCATGAAGTAAGACTGTAGCCAGAAGAAGTCTGTAGTAATTTTGGGAAACCTCTTGTCTACCGCACATTATTTCTACCTACCACCAGACCTTCTCAGTCCACTTCCAACGTCTGACCAAATCAGGTTATTGCCTACAAAATGAAAATGGTAGGGAATAAACCAGCAACCTCTTAAACAGGGATCAAGCCAGACTTGGAGATCCAAGGGTGGAGGAATGGATGAAGTACAACCCTGGGTTCCAATCCATGCTCAGTCATGAAGGTGTTCATGGCCCAGTTACTCTCTATTAATCTGATCCATGCGCTTGGAGGACTGCAACTGTTTCAACCTGTACTGGGAGGCTGAAATAGGATGATCCTAAGGTCTTTGTAAGAGAAATTAATCCTAAACAGAGTTATACCTGTCTAAGCCCACTGACTTCAGTGGAGGTAGAAGGGAATAACTTTGTAAATTAAGCATGTTTAGGTTCCACTGATTTTATATACTTAACTCTCCCAGCACAATCACTAGAGGCAGGGCCGGCTCATTCACTAGGCGAACTAGGCACTCGCCTAGAGCGCGCCGGCCCTTAGGGGCGCCAAACTGGCACACACACACACACCCGCTGTCCTGGTTCAGCTGCAAACACTACTGAGTTTTAAACATGTTACGATCTTTCTGATGATACAAACACCAATTCCACCAAAGAACTTAGCCCTCTGAGCACAGAAGGGTCACTCAGCTGAGTCAAAGAAGAATCTAAGTAGGGGGGCTATTACATAAGGACACTCAAGTTGCAACTGACTTATGGCAACTCCAGCAAGGAACTGTCAAGGCAAATGAGAAGCAGAGGTTGTTTGTGACTGCAAATGCCTTTCTTTGCAGAGTCTTCCTTGGTGGAAGCCAGATGTGCAAAGCAGGCAAAGTTACAAAAGCAAAAGTGAGTGTTAAGAGCATGGTGTGCCAGGGGAATGGGAGGTCCGGGGTACAGATCCAATTAACGGGTCCAAGCCATGCTGGGCGCACGGGGGGGGGGCACCAGAAGGGATCCTCGTCTAGGGTGCAAAATAAGCTGGGGCTGGCCCTGACTAGAGGTCAAAGTTATTTCTCTTGCCTGAATCTGGGTCACCACTATCAGAAGCCTCATTACACAAGGGGAATACTTATATATAATATCTTTTTATTGCAGTGCGTGCATGTTATGTATCATCAAGTCATTTCTGACTTTTGGCAACCCTATGAATTAATGACCTCCAAAACATCCTGTCATTAACAACCTTGCTCAGGCTGTTATTGTATTTGGGGAGGCATTGCAATCTGTATGCCCCCCCAACACAATTTAGGCTGTGATCCTAATTACATTTACATGGAAGTAAGTCTCCTGGATTCCAGTGGGGCTTGCATCCAAGTAACCACAGGAATGTTAGCTGACAATTAGCTACCATAATGCTCTCTTCAGTTTGGTGTAGTGGTTAAGAGTGGCAAACCAACTCTGCTTCTTCATCTTCTTCTTTCTCTTCTTCCTCCTAGACTGCTTTACTGGCCGGAACGCCATGCTTGTATCTGTTCCATCTTCCTAATAAGGCAGATTCTTGGATGTGGACCTCACTGAGTGCAACAAATTAACTTTGTCACAACAAGGTTTGGGGAGGACGGCAGTGTGCTCATGGGCAGCTCAGTACAAAGCAGTGTGCATTGAGGGAACCGTCTACAAGAAAGGTATATAGGAAACACCACGAAATTAAGCCTATGTATGTGGTAATGTACAGCTAAAAACCAGAGATACACAAAAAATGAGGAGCCATCCACACCATATCCCAAAGTGTTCATTTGAAGGCCTGCATCTCCCAATATGAACTGGTCTGCCAGTTACATTTGTCTGGCCAATGCCTTCTCTCCATCACTTCCTACACCTAGAATGGTTCACACAGCTACTACTGTGTGATTGATAATAAATAAATAAATAAATAATACTGGAGCCTGAGTGTTTTCAAGCATCAGCCTGGCTTAATGGAATAGGTTACCCAAAGAGGGATGGAGAATTCCTTTATTAAGCTTTAGAAGACAAGAGTTTATTCCTTGGGGGTCTTCTTATAATAGCTGTACTTTGGGCTATGCTTTCTGTTTGGTGTTGCATCAGATTTTGTGACTGGCATTTTGATTGCTCTCATTGCTCTGTGTTTTATACATGTCTATATAATATCTCTTGCTTTGGCATACCATAAACTGCCTTGAGTCTTGGGGGAAAACTGCAATTAAAAAAAATAAAAATTGTAAAAAAATGAATGACTGAACCATCTGTCAATTTTGCAAGCTAGCCAAACTCGGCATGTAGACTTCAGCCCATCTCTCTCCCCTTGCATCCCATCTCTTCTTTGGCTCACATAGCCCCCTAAAGCAACTGTTTCTCCTCTTCCTTCCTACTATAAACTGTCCACTTCTCATGTTTCTAAGCTATGTATGAAGTTCCCTATTTTCATTTTCCCTGCCAACCTTCTTAGCAGCTCCGCATTCCTTTTTTTATCCTGTACCTGCATTTTTTACCTACCTCAAAATGACCTTTCACTTCCCGTACAGACCGTTCAGTTTGTCAACAATCCATCACTGAAAGTTTCTTTAGAAGGATGCATGTAAACAGTGTCCCAGTCACTGCAGCTGTCAATTGCTCCACTAGACAAAAGCCAGAGTTCACCACTCTACTGAGTAGCAACTGCCCTTTGCAATTGTCCCTTTCCTGGTACTGATAAGGCTCACATGAGATATTAAGGTTAAGACACCATCGATTGCCATGGGGACTTGCAGCAGGATGGCAGAAGCGAGTTCACTGTGAGAACTCAACCCTCAAGTGCTGCAGGGGAGCAAGTTAGATGAGGACCATGGCACAGGAGAGGAGGGGCTTCAGTCTTCTCTCCATGCCACTTTCCTAACCCAAAGTATTCAATGCAAAACCAGTGTGGTATAGTGGATGGAATGCGCCAGACTTTGAGTGAGGAGACCCACCTTCAAATCCCTGCTCGGCCATCAAACTATGTGACTTATGACCAGTCACGTTCTTTTGCCCTTGCCTATCTTGCAGGGTTGCTGTAAAGAGAATTCCGATGTATGCCTAAACTCCTTAGGGGGGGAAGCAGATACCATGGGTAATAAATAAATACATCGCTTTCAAAAATCTCTCTCTCCGGAATAAATTAAATTCAGTTTGGATAAATCAGTCTACCTGGATTAGCACCCACCTCTGGGCAGTGTCAACTGCAGACTTCCCCACGTGTGGATTTCATTTTGGTCTAATGCATCAGAGAGGGGTATTGTGTTCAAAAAACATGATAGCGGAAGAACCAAGCTGCTGTGCTTTTGCATAAACCGTTTCATTTTTAATCCTACCGAAACACAAGGAACCCTTTGCAAACATCTGTGCTGCACTGCACACCCTTTCACGCCAGCATCCGACACATTACTACCGCCATCCAATTAGCAGCACATTTATATAACAGGCTACACCCTGTGCACACAGACAAAAAAAATGAATGCAGGATGGGAAAGGCAGGCTTTATTTAAGCAAAAGTGGCCCCCTGGACCAATTCAGATTTACAGTTTCAAGACTGATGCTTCAAGTACAATTGCTACAAAGCTTGGCAGCCTGGCAAGGGCTTACCCACACGGCTGTCTTTTCCCACACAGGCACCGTGGCCACTTTCACATGCTCCACTGTGCCTCCAAATCCCACATGATCATTGCTTAAAGTTTCCTATTTTCCCATTTCTAGAGTGCATTCTCTTCCCCAGGACTCCAAAGTGCTTCCCAAAAAAATAAACAGAAATGCCTGGAGATAGATTTGGCCCATACCTAAGAAGGCAGCTTCTTTGGGTGAGAAGCGACAACTGGCTTTAAAAGGGGGATAAGACAGATGCATAGAGAATGGGTCAGTCAATGCCTATCAACTATGGTTAGTAAAGGGAACCTCCACATTCAGAGGCTACAAACCTCTGAAGCCCAGAGTTCAGACGCATCAGGGGAAGGCCTTGGTCTCTCCAGGGCAACTGGTTGGCAGCGGTGTGAAACAGGAGGCTGGACTAGACGGACCGCTGTTCTGATCCAGCTTGGCTCTTGTTATGTGGCGATGTCCCACCACAAGGGATTAAGCCAAGTTTAATGGAAGGGAAGGTCATCCAGGTGTAGGGCACAAGCAAAGCAGAACAGCCCTGTTCCAAGTGCTGTGCTCTTCCTCTACCAGCTGTTGCTAGAATGCCAAAAGAACCCACTTCTTCCCTGGGTCTGCGATCCCTTCTCTCCAGATGAGAGCAAGTCACCTGGCTCTTTCTAAATGCAGTTTGCATGAATATAATCTGGAGGAAGTCTATCCCCCACCAAAGGACACAACGGTAAAGAATACAAGAGATTTCAAGGGAAACAAGCAGTGGTGGCTGTCACCCTGAAGGGGTTTGTTTTTTCAGCCTCCCGGGGTGATAGGAGAGAAAGGAAACCGATGGTGAGCTGCAAGTGCACATTTTCAGAAACAAACGAAACACTGGATCTATGGGGTGTGTGCCCTGTGCACTTTTGCATAGAGAACAGCAATCCCATTTGCAGGGTTGGAGGGTGATGGGATCCAAAGATACCGAGTGGTTCAATGGACTTCCCCCAAGCTGGTAATGGAGAAACATTGATGACCCTCTGTCTGCAGGTGTTTTGCAACTCACTTACTCACCACCGCCACCACAAAAACAGGAGGCCATAACAATCCAATGTTATGTTGACTGAAGAAAATAATTGGTTGTTACTCTTGGTTGGGCTATTGATGCACACAAGCACAGCATGTACACCACACAGAGGCCAGGTGGGTAATCTACTAAGCACCGCTCCAGTGGAACTTCTCGTCATGTCAATGAAATTTGCAGGGGACTAAGCCCTAAGAGGTGCCCAGCTCAAATGTCAGCTGAGAGAGAGTAGAAGGGAGATGAAATCGGCTTTGTTCCATAGAAAATCCTTGTTCGTACTATGATACTGTTCACAGTAAGACACTTTTTGGTGGCTCACATTCCATCTTCTTCGAAGTACAAGAGAGAGGTTTGAGGGAATTTTACACACTAAAAAGACATACTTTTTATTGCTTTTCAGATTGTTCCTGACTGACTCTGCCCACCCCACCTCCTCACAAAAGGCCACAGTTCCAGAATGTTCTGGAAATAACTTTCTTTGGTTGAGAAACAGGAGGAAATACAATGAAACAGTAGTAGTTCCCTTTACTTGGAAAAGAGAGAGAAAGACACAGAACTGTGGGCTGCAGTGTTAACGGACTAGAATCACACCATATTGCCCACAGCACTGAGAGTGGGAATGGACAAGCAATTCCTACTTTTGCCCACTGGTTGACAGCAGAAGTCCAAAATGGAGAGGGAGGGGCAGGGTCTCCTGTAACCGGCCTCACCGGATGCGTAAATAGGAAGGAATGGAGTAGTTGAAGAGCAAATAATCCATTTTGTATAAATTAAATAGTCTCCTTTGGTAAAAGGGGCTAATGTTCTGGAAGAACTTAGCTGTCATGTCATCATTGGTCCTGGTGGTCTTGGAGGAAGATGGGAATTTGACGCCTGCGTCAGCCCCAATCAGTCGCAGGATGTAGTTGGCATCCTCTGTCAATGTCTCGTACTTGCCTATTACATCATAGTGGATGATGCAGGGGTGGCAAAGGGAATGCACCCTCTCCCAGTGCTCATTGAAAGGCTCCTCGTGCTGTGTCTGTGGATCCAGCAGGTAGTACACGAACTCCTCAAAACGCACATCGTGGCCGCGCTCCATGGCCTCTTCACTTGGGTCTTGCCGATGCCGCTGGATGATCTTGGTCCCGTATCGCTTGTGGAATGCTGTGTTGTAGCTACGAGTGAACTTGTTGCGATAGGCCGAGACCAGCCGTTCGAGAGGTTCCCGCACAAAGATGAACTTGAGGTAGTTACGCAAGCGGTAGTTGATCTCAGGAGTGCTGTACTCAGAGAGGGTGCGCAGGTTGGATGACACATGAGCCTCGTTGGCTGGGATGTCCAAAGGGTCCTGGTACTTGCCGCGCCCCGTCAAGACCATCATGACGCGCTTCCAGTTAGTGCAGGCCACCTTGGGGACATAGCAGTAAAGCAGACCATGGACATCGTCAACGACCAAGTGGCGCAAGTCATCAGGAGTCAGGAGGCGTCGCTTGCGGGTGTAACGGTTACACACTCTGCTTAGAAGGTCTCGCCTCTGTTGGTGAGTAGCTTGCAGGGAAGACAGCTCAACCTGAGGAAACACAAGAGGGAAAGGGTTACTGCAGGATGACCATTAAGCTCGTAGAGCTACCTTCCTTGTTTAGTGCCACGTTTTAATTTTATTTACTTATATCCTGCTTTTCTTCCCGAAGTGGGTTATAGTCCAGTAAGGAAAAAACTATTGAGATGAACAGAGGAAGACAGGAGGCAACAGAAGTACAGAGCAGACCTTCGCTCTCCTGAATGATCTTCGGCTTCAGCCTAGGCTACAGCCCTGAAGCTAAGAGCCAAAGGACAACAGCACTTTGGGCATGGCTGGGCCTTAAATACCTGTGGAGCAGTAAGAGAATAAAGTCAGCTAGATGCTATTCAATTGCTGTTAGCCAGCTAGCAGGCTCTTCTCCACTTCCTTCTCTGCCAGCTAGCTATCTTTTATGCGGCAACGAAGCAGAACAGAGTGAATGCCATTCTTCCATGGAACTTAAGAATGGTAGGAGGAAACTGCTTTTAGTCCATTCTAGAATGAATAGTGAAGACTGCATTTCTTCTGGAGATAAAGGGCACGCTCTTGTGACTGCCTTTAATGTGGCCAAGGGGAAAAGAAAAGGGAGCAATAATATTTCTCTCCCTTAACTGTAGATTGCCACTGATGGTTTACTTAACCTAGCAGACTGGGATTCAAGTGGTGTGAGGATCACAGAATGGTAGCAAGCAGAAACAAGTAGGTGAAACAGGTGAAAAGCCAGCTGGAGGGGAAAGCTCTTATTCAGTTCCTCATTCTGAGCTTCACATCCGTCCTGGAACCGGCTTTAGCAAGCTGCAGTTGCTGGTGGAGAATGGAAGCAATTAGGCTTGCCAGACTGAGGTTGTTTGTTTCCTTCATGCCAAAGATAAAACCTAAAAGGAAGATCCAAAGCATGCATGGCATGAAGGAATTAAGCAGGGAGTCCACTGGCAAGGCAGAATTTATTCCAGCACAAGATTTTGTGAGTCAGAGCCCACTTTGTCAGATGCACGAAGATGTCTCACGTGCCTTTGGTGAAGTGAGCTCTAACTCAGAAAAGTTTATGCTGGAATATAATCTGTTAAATCTCTACAGTGCCACGGGACTCCTGTTTTATTTTGCTGCTACGGACTAACATGGCTACCTATCTGGAATATGTAATATCTTGCCTAGCCTCTTCCATCAGGCAAGGATAGGACTCATTCTGTGACGATAAAAAGTAGTCATAGGCTGTGGTCACACGGAGCATTAGCCATGCTACAGGGACGGAAGATAGGCAGATTTTCTGGGCGTGATCTCACCGCCACATCTGGGAAGCATAGAGCTCCCGTGGCTCACCCAAGGCTTCCCACGAAAACGCGCGGTTAAAAAACTAGTACCTCGGAGGTACTAGTTTCCGGAAACCGCGGGGCAAGGGTGGACGTCTGATCGCGTTTCCGGTGGTAGTTCCGGCGCCTGCCCATGTCCCCTAGCAAAAAGGGTTCCCCCCCAAGTCTCCATGGATGCGCACAAGCACCCAACGAAGCATGCACAAACTGTAGTTTAAAAAACAAAACCACACAACTGAGCAGCTCGCTAAGACTTGAGTCGTGCAGAGAAGAGGAGAGCAGCCAGATGAAACGCAACACAGGAAAGGGGGGGGGGCTGAGAGTGAGATTTGGGTCAGGGGAGAAGGGCAGAAGGACGGAGCAGATCAAGGAAGGGGGAGGAGTGGGGGGTTGAGGGGTCGTTTACCTGAAACAGACTCTGAAGAGTGCACAAAGGTTTTTATTAAGTCTCCACGGGATGCGCACAAGCACCCAACGGAGCATGCACACACTTCAGTTTAAACAAAACAAACACAACTCCGTTTGCCGCCCCGCCCCACTTCTTTGCCTGTGGTGTGATCGGCACCTCCCCCCTAACCTTGGGACCTCCACGGGACGTCGGATCGCGCAACCGCACGTTATTTAGCCCCGGGGCAAACAGCCACTCTTCCCCCCCCCCCGCATTTTCTGGCCAGTGTGACTGGAGCCATAGAGAGTGTATCTATACACAGATCTAACTGTCTTCTTAATAAATTAATCCATCCCCCAGAAACGGAAGGGAGAGGGGGCTGTGATCTTTGAAGTTTTGCAGCACACCCTTCAAACTGCAATTCCTAGAGTTCTTTGGGGTAAACTGACTTTTAAACTGCTGGAATCCCAATACAGCATAGTAATGTACCTGTGCCCATAGCATATGAAGCTTGTTTTCAGAATTCCTTAGCAGTACCACCCACCTCCCTCAAATGGTGGCTCACAGGTCTCTATTCTCTCCCCCTCTACTTGTGTGGTGGCTATGGGCGGAGGGAGGCTCTGATGCAACTGCCTTCTGGATGGAAAAATATCCAGTCCCCCACTCTGGCCTCTCCTAGAGGTTCTTTAAACCCCAACCACCTGCAATCAGATAAGGGGGAGGGGCACAAGCTTTGAATAAAGGATTGGTAGCATGTAAGCTATGTGCTCTCTAAAGATCTAAAATCTGAAGATGGGAGACCACCAACAAATACCAGGGTTGTGACTGGGAGGCGGGCAATGGCCTCTGCCTTGGAAACCATAAGGGTGAGTCAGCTGTGACTTTCCACCACCCAAGCGGAAGCTGGCTCACCCCCTCCCATCCAGTGGAGCTCCATGGGCTCTGATTGGCTGACAGTCACTTGGATTTGCATGAGGGAGGCCTAAATCACAAGGATTCATTCAGAGTCCTTGAGGAGAGGCGGGGCTTTTAAGGATGACTGCCACAACTTGCTATTTTGGATTCCCAAATAATAGCTCAGTAGTCCAAAAGAATTAATCCAGAGTAACTACTGTCACTACATCTGAAGTACCGCTCTGTACGCAATGAAAGAGGGTGACCCAAGTTGCTTGCATGGACAGGAGGAGTGTGCCGCTAAGGGGTCTCTAAATTACCATGGGTATTGCACACTGGTTGAAGAGAAAAGAAAGGCCTCACATGCTGGCACCAAATGCCAGGATGAGTGCTTTGAGCTGGGCAAAGTCAACTTTGGATGGAATGACATGGTCAGAAATCTGCCTTTGGGCTATGCAAATATTTCTCTTCCTTCTCCTTATTGCATTCCTTTCCTCTGTCAGCCCCATCTGTTTGGGAGAGTCATTCCAGGCTGCTCAGCAGGGCACAGTACTACCCTAGGCCTGAACAAGTTCAAGCTCTGAATTACCTCTTTGGGGCTTGCTCTCCCTTTCTTGTATTTCCCCACTCATCAGAACCTTCTTCTAGGGGACCACAAAACAACATTAATTTACAGAAGAACCCTCCCTTTCTTTTCCTTCCAATACCAGTTAGATGTCGACAGTTCTCTGCAGCCCTAAAAAGCTCCAGTTTCAGCATGTGAGTTCGGGCTGCTGTGTTTATTTCCTCTGAGTAAACCCAGGTTTACTCTTGGACTGCAAAGAAGATCAAATCAGTCAATCCTAAAAGTAATCAACCCTGACTGTTCCCTGGAAGGCCAGATAATGAAACTGAAGCTCAAATACTTTGGCCACCAAATGAGAAGGGAGCACTCACTGGAGAAGACCCTGATGCTGGGAACGATTGAAGGTCAAAGAAGACGGGGACGACAAAGGATGAGATGGTTAGACAGTGTCATAGATGCAACGAACATGAATTTGAGCAAACTTCAGAGGAAGGCAGAAGACAGGAAGGCCTGGTGTGATCTGGTCCATGGGGTCGAAAAGAGTCAGACTCGACTGTGCGACTGAACAACAACAAACCCAGGTACACTGTCCTGGAAGGGTCCTCCCCCCTTAAGGCTCAGCTGGCATTCCCGTACTGTCTTGTAAACACCAGGGCAAAACACTTCTCCCGACCAGGCTTTTAGTTGAAATATTCCGTCTTTTAAAGCTGCTTTTATGGTCAGCTTCCATCCCTGGGAGCTGTTTTATGGATATCATTTTAAGATACTTAATTTTTGTTATGGTTTGTTTAAATATTGATAATTTTACTATTGCTTTATGGTTTTATTGAACTTGGGGTTTTTTTTACTTTGTGAGCTATCTCAAGCAATTCTTTGGAGAGGCAGCATACAAATTCCCTAAATAAAGTAAGTTTTGAGTAGCATCCACTTTTATCTTGCTACGCAATGGCTGATCTATGATTGTAACAAATAAAGATGAATTCAAAGATGATACACAATGAAGCTGATTCTCTGCTTTACACTCGAGACAGAGGCCTACCCCTCTGTTTGGTGAAGTTTGACACCTTCCGCTTAAAGAGAGGAGGAGGAGGAGGAGGAGGTGGAGAAGCAGGAGGAGGAGGAGGAGAGCTGAATTTATACCCTGCCCTTCACTTGGAGTCTCAGAGTGATTTACAATCTCCTTCCCTTCCTCTCTCCATAACAGACACCCTGTGAGGTAGATAGATAAGTTTTATTCACAGTCATTGACCAATGCATAAAACAATGTCACTTTGTAACATGGGTAAAAGATATCACATTAAAATAGGAACAGAATTTTAAGACTGGTTATAAAAACACCATAAAAGCCATAATGGTTAAAATTAATAAAACTTAATCTTAATTCTCTTTTCGAGCTACTATAGATTTTCTAATTCTTAGGGCAAGCCATTCGAACCTAGCCACCTGATGTAACTTCTGCCCAGCTATCCGATAGCAAATTTCTTAAAAGGCAGATTCTTTGCCTGTGACACCCTATGAGGTAGGTGGGGCTGAGAGAGCTCTGAGAGAATGGTAACTGGCCCAAGGTCACCCAGCTGGCTTCATGTGGAGGAGTGGGGAATCAAACCCGGTTCTCCAGATTACTGTCCACCACTCTTAACCACTACACCAAAGAGGGGTGGAAGAGCCACTTCCCCCAGAAGAAGGGTCACAGGGCTGGTGGAAGGCTTCAAACTTTGCTGGATGGAGTGGTAGGATACATGTTTGCATTGCAAGTATTGCTAAATTGCTGCCATGCAGGACTTCTATAAAAACAAAACTGTAGCTCTAAAACCAAACTCCAGTCTGCTGCACAGCAGGAGGTTTCCTATGA